AAACAAAGATCGAGTCAGAGGAAAATTAGGGCAAAATTGAAATAAAAAGGGTTAATATAGCGATTTAAAGCTCACCCTTAGTCCCGTCCCGACGGAGTATCCGAATCTTTCAGCTTCACGAAATGTCGTGGTCGGTTCTGCAGAAATTAGGGCAAAATGCTCGATTTGAAAAGTTGTACAACGAATCGTCCGAAGAACAGATATTTAATTAACAAAACTGGAAATGGAGTAGGTTCAAATGGCGAATGCGAAGCTCACCTTCAAGCCTGACGGAGAACACGAAGCACTTACCTTTCTCAACAATGGCGTCGCAGTCGCTGCAGAAACTAGGGCAACCAAATGGCCGACTTTTTTACTTTTAAATGGTATGGAAATGTAATTCGAGGCAAATGAAAGGGTATTCTGGTATTTTGGCAGCACCTTTTGAGGGTATGAAAGGCAAGATAATTTCGGGACAAATTTATCACATGTGAGGGGCCGGATTTTTTAATCTGAAAGTGGCGGATCCGCATTTGCCACATTGGCGCCACATCACCAAAATCCCGTCCCAATCTGCCCAAGTAAATGTAGGATAAAAGGGACTAATTGTCTTATCCTGTCCCTATCCTCCAAAGTAAACGACCCCTAAGATTACAATATTATGGTTAATAATTAATCCAGTAATGATAAGGAGTCAACTGTTGGCTTCGTTACGGAGCCAACAGCCAATGGGACAGCTCCATGTGGGGCTGTCCCACATTAAAGTCATGTGGGGACAGTCCCACATGAAGCTGTATAATTGGTTGTTGGAGCCAACAGTTGGCTCCTTAGTATTACTGATAATTAATATAAACACTTTATCATGCAAACTAGGAGGATCTTGCCTTTTATTCAGCCAGCAACAATCATAATAGTAGTTTATTTAATAAAAAAATGTGTTCATTTAATAAAAATATAATTGCTTTTTAATAAGAATATGTAACTTTCAGTTATACAATTTTATTTTGACGTGTCCCATTTTGGATGATGCTCATTTCTGTAACGCCTTTTTATGTCTTGAAACACTAATATTTTTGTTTTTGTTTTGATACTATATATATTTTGGTATTATATAAATACATATTTCACAACTAATTAGGAATGACTACAAATATCTTTATTTTCTATATAAAATAACAGAAAATAGTATTTTGGATATTACAAAGATACATCAAATAATTGAAAAAAATAGATCTCATGAAATAAAACTCTCCTGCAAAATGGTCTTGCAATATATTAAAAATTATAATATTATATGCATAATATAACTTATAATACTCTATGTTTAAAATTTAATATCATTATCTAACTTATAATTTCAATATCATATCACTACAAAAAAACCTCTTACATTCCAACGGAAATTTTCCGTTGGAATTCTTTATATATCCGTTGGAATAGATATTCCAACGGATATTCCTACGTATAAAAATTTGTGGGAAAAACGGCCGTTGGAATAGCTAAAATCCAACGGAAATTCCTATGGAAATAAATTCCTACAGCTATTCCAACGGAAAAATTCCGTTGGAATTCCTCAATCATCCAACACTTTTTCCAACATAAAATTAAGTTTGTTGGAATATTCATTGGAATTTCCAACGGAATTTTTTGCCGTTGGAATTTTTCGTTGGAATTGAAGTGTTTTCTTGTAGTGTATACATATAAATAACTTATAATATCTTATTTATATCTGTACAAATACACAAGATCAAATACTAGTAATATTTAATATCAATAAATTTAACTTTTTAGTGTGCAATTAGTGGTATTTCCTGATCCACCCTTCAAAATTAATATAATAAATGCTTTTATAAATTGAATAGTAAAACAACCAAATAAAACTCAAATTTAACTCAACTTTAACTCAACTCCACTATATTTAATATTATCAATATAATCAAATAATATCAATCAATCATTATTACACAGTACATCAACTTTAATTAACTATTCATCTACTCACATAACTCTAACTAACTATCACTTCCAATCATTTTTTCCTTACTTTACATCAAATCAACTTTAATTATTTTATTTAAATATTATTTTAATATATCCACTAACAACTAACTATACCACCTTTTTTCAAAATTAACAATAGTTAAAAAACAACCAAATAAAAACTAATTCAATTCATAAACAATCACACCCTAAAATACATTTCACAATTCTTTTATTCCCGAAGGATGCTATAGTAATTTTTGAATAAATTTGTATCTATATATCTATATAAAAAGAATTACCATTTATCATTTTTAGTAAGATTTTCCCGCCACTTTCATTAATTACATGCTAAATATAGAATATTAAGACAATTGGGTCAGCGAAAGCAATTTATTTAAGTGGTTGGAATGCATTTTCCTTTTTTTTTTTTGGAGGAATTATAGCGAATGGTTCATTGTAAACCGATAAGGAAGCAATTTATTTACATTTTTGGGATGCATTTTCCTTTTTTTTTTTTTTGTGGAAGAATAACAGCAAAATATCTTATCAATAATCAAAATCCGTACAAATCTGCCTATTTCCCGATTACAAACGAGATGATTGATGCATTTCCCCTTTTTTGTGGCTGTATTTCCTGATTTATGAAATCTGTCTTAAAAAATAAAGTTATATCAACTAATTAAATAATATAATAACAAAATAAATCGCTTGTGGAGCCTGACAAAATAATTTAACATATTACATTTCTATTTGATGTATAAAATGACAATGGTATCTATACTTATATAAAAGAGCATTCTATTTATTAGAATTAGTAGTAAGAAAAGTCAAATGTAATTAATGTATTATTTTCCATCAAGTATTTTATTTAATTATTGTATTTAATTATTTTATCTCATAACACATTTTCAATACAATTACCATGATTTTTCTATTATCATTAAAAACCAAATTTTACGTTTAGAATCTTGTGAAATTATTATTATTATTTTTATAAAGCACATATTATTTATTAAAAAATTGTATATATATATATAATACACATTACAGTACCATGGTAGATGATTTAAATTTCAACCGATCAAAATGCCAATGATTTAAATTTGAACACACCTATGCGTTTGACCAAATGTCTGGATGATTTAAAATTGAGCCCATAAAAAATTATTTGAATTTGAACACATCAGAAATTTTATGTACTTTTTATTTTTAAATATATTGAAAGTGGTACTTAATGGTTGTTATATAAACTATTTTAATATATTTGCAATGAATAAAAGTTTGAATGAATAATTTGTAATGTTATTCATAATATTTGTGACTTATGAAACACGAACACATAACTCCATACATATTTCCAGAGGGCAGCTTAATAATTTTTTAAATTTAACGTTGATTAAAAGAGGTAGAAAATAGATATTAACATTATTACTTTTTAGACTTAAACGGACAAGGCTGTGAAAATAACTCATTTAATATATTTGTCCCGTGCATCGCACGGGGTACGTACTAGTTCTTTTGTATACGATTGACATATTTATAAAGTACTATAAATAAAAATATAACAATTTCCTGTACTATAATGTTTTAAACTGAAATACTGAATAAGCCCTCTATATTTTCAACTATTTCACATGAGACACAAAATAGTAATATTAGTATTATGTAATTGTGACAAAATGGAATCTGATTTTGATATATAAAGAGAGATTGGGGGCCAAAGTGAAAATATTTGCTAAATTTGTTGCTTTTGTGCGTCTCTTCACATATTTTAATGGCAACGTGTAACTCAACACTCAACAGGGTTTTACACTGGTTTTTCTCTACTCAATAAACTAAGCCGGCCGGTGAATTGAGAACGGGAAGACCCGTGGAATCCCGTCCCTTTTTTCCGATCATCGACAAACGCCGTTAATCAATCGCCGCCGGCCCGCCGTTTCCCACTAAACTCCGTCAAAACCCGCGGCCGTCTTCTCGAAAGTAATTAACTTAATCTCTACGATACTGTGTCTCGGTCCTCCGGCGCTTTTGCATGGCGGCAAAAGGCTTCCGTTCTTGCAGTAGATACGACTTTATTCGTCGAGATGTTTCGTTTTCGATTTACCCATCGGGTTTTTTTTTTTTTTCTGTATGGAAATTCTGGTAATATCCTGCAGGAATTCTTCAAGAGGGAGATGGGTTCTTGCCGTCCCCGGAATTACGCTCGCCGCATTTCCTCCTCCAGAGTATGTGTGTGTGTGTGTGTGTGTGTGTGTGTGTGTGTGTTGGGGTGTTGAGATTTGGTATTCTGTCTTTTTATATCTCTGTTTGGAGTTAGGAATTTGTTGTGTGTGTGTGTGTGTGTGTTTTAGAGTAAATTATCAAGAATTGTATGGAAGGGCTAGAATTTGTTGTTGCTTGATCTGTGTGGACATACAGTAATTATGCTGTTCTTGTTCTGATTCTATGCCATGCTCTGTGTGTTATGTGTGTGTGTGTGTGTGTGTTTTGTTGTGTATTTCTTCTGTGTTTTTAAGCAATCTATGCACAGGAAAGCTGGATGAAATGGGTTGCTTGTGAAGGGTTTTATTAAAGACTTCCATTAATTACATACTATATAGGCTGAGAGGTAAAAATAGTGAGTTAAGTTTGGAAGGCACATTAAGGACTAACAGAAAATGTGATCTGTTGGTTGATTTACTGTTATTGGGTATTATAGTAGTTCTCCGTGTAAAGAAATAATAGTTCACGACTGAATTATGCTACTTCTTGGACTTTGCACGTTTCATAATATGGAATATATAGTGTGTTGTTGCAGGAAGCCAATTAGTTGCATAAGTTTAAATTTCGGTCTTGGAGTTTACTGCACGCCGTAAGTATTTCACTTTTCTACTATAATGAAGTGCACATTGTAAGATTCTGATATCCATTATTGCTCTCGTTTTGTGACGGGGTCTGTATAACTTCACTTTGTATTGCAGCTATATTTCTTTAGATCATCGAAGATTGTGTTGGAATGTTAGTTAGCCCATGTCTTAGAAGACTTGTGAGATCTCCTTGGACATCTCCTTCATAGAGATTGAAGCCAGACACAAATGTGTTGAATCATGCATTCCAAATATAATTCCGCTCGAAACTGCACAAAATTTATAGCATCTATTGAAAATAAAACATTTTTGTTGTGCCATTGTTTTGGTAAGCTAGTGCTCATGATGTTATCATGTTGTTACTTTCTTAAGCTTTTTTCATACGAATTTAATCCCATACATGTTTTTTTCATTTTCTTGCACCTTTCTGTACCACCGTTTTCTTCTTATTACATATAGAAACATTTTCACTTTCCTAGTCAACCGATGCCCCATTTTGAATTTTATGTATTGTCGTATACTCGAAAAACCGTGAATGTTAGATAAATCTGTTAAAAATAGGCAATGACTCGTGTGAATGTTGAGCCTTGATTTTTTTCATTCATGCAGTCCGTAGTTGAGCATATTGACCTGTACGGGGAACTAAACGCTCCTATGAGAGGTGTAACTACCGTAGCATTCAACACCACTGGCGAGCATCTTATGTCAGGTGCAGACGAGCAACAAATAATGCTATGGGATTGGGCACCAAAGAAACTCATATCTTCATATCCATCTGGCCACAGTGACGCGATACTCCAGGCCAAGTTTGTGCCGTTCTCTAACGACCGCCTAATAGTAACTTCATCCGCCGATCACCAGGTAATTATTTAGTTTTATTAGGCAAATGAATCACAAAATACAAAAATCCACTATCTTGTATGAGTGATACTTATTGAGTCTGCAGTGGATGCACGAATATAAATCGTAAAAAATTATATCTTTAATCCCTTATTTTTTACTAACCAATAAAATTTGTTTCATCTAAAAAGTAACGATGTTTGACTAACTAGCTTATTAGACCTTACTTCGATTGAATGTAGTAAAGTCAGGGTGGATCTTCTTTGAGTATGTTGCCCTCTTATTATACCCAGATAACTTTAAAATCTATGGCATCCATTTCTTACATTTTAATCAATTTCTCTACTACAGGTCAGGCTTATCCATGCCAGGGAGAGTGGTTCAGCTGCAAACATGGAATTATCCAAGCACCATGGTTGTGTTAACGGTCTTGCCGTGGTACCTTGTTATCCTCACGTATTTTATAGCTGTGGGGTAGATAGCTATGTCCATCGTGTAAGCTTCTAGCCTTTTTTTTGCTAAACTTTTAATTTAAAAGGGTTAATAATTATTAGAAATTTGAGGTTCGATCTAATTACTAAAACACTCGGCAATCTTTTTAAATCACGTTAAAAAAAAATGCATATATGTTCTTCATACTTTAATTTTGCGCAGCACGACCTACGTGTGGGCTCCACCTCTAAGATTTTGCGTTGCGTGTCGATTATAACCAAGTTGGGGGTTAGGCTGTTTTCTATCGACATTGACCCACGAAACCCGCACTACTTTTCCATTGGGGGAGATGATCCTTTTGCTCGTGTTTATGACATCCGAAAGTTCGGCACATCCACGAACCAGAGGTCCCCTGCCTACATGTTCTGCCCCCGTGTTATGGCCTCGTTCGCCTATCCCTACATCACTGCATTGGCCTACTCGAGGAAGAGCGAGCTTCTTGTCTCGTACAACGATGACTCAATTCATCTCTTCCGGAATAACTCGGGCCCGTGCCTGAGCCCGGATGACGAGCAAGTTTACGTGGGCCACCGAAACTCTCGCACGATCAAGGGAGTGGGCTTTTTCGGCCCGGATGACGAGTATATAGTGAGCGGGTCGGATTGTGGCCGAGTTTTCTTGTGGATGAAGAAAAGTGGCGAGATTGTTCGTGCGGTGGTTGGTGATGTGGAGACGGTTAAACAGGCGGTGGGCCATCCCTCGATTCCCGTGCTCGCCACTTGCGGGATGGAGAGTAGTGCGAAGATTTGGGGGCCCACGTCGAATTCCAAAGCCCCTATGCCCGAGCCTTTGGTAATGCTCGCTCGATTTTTTCATTATTTATTTTCTTTTTTTCATTGGTCTCTCAAGTCTAATGATGTATGTGTGTGTGTGGGTTCGTGGACAGGCTAACGATGATGAACTAGATGTGGAGGATCCTTATGAAGGGTATCAGGACTCGGATTCAAGCTAACTCTACCATTTGGAACGTCGATTTGCAACTTGTGTAGTTAGTTAAAAATTATACGAACCATTTGGTTGTTTTGCCTATACGTAAATACATGTGTACGTGTATAGATACGTACATACATATTCTGCATACGTAAATACATACATAGATGAATAGATACATACATATTGGTGTTTGTACTCGATATGTTGTGTGAGCAAGTACTTTTGCTGGAATTTTTGAAGTACATTCTGGCAATGTTTTGAGCTTGGCAAACATTCAAGCATTACATTTGAGTGATAGTTGGAAGTACCCGAATCAAAATTCATTTGTGCCATACCCCATTACAAAATATATATACATTTATATATTTTTTTTTTTTTTGCAAAAT